TTAGAATGCTTGCAGAGATGGATAAAGCAATGGGAATAAACAGCAATCCAGATAGTGATGAAGAAAGGGAGATGCTGGCTAAGTATATGATGCTTAGTGATGCAAATCCTAATAACGCATGTTCTATTTCATAATAATTTAATGTTTGATTTACCATGATATTTATATGAATATGACAATATATAAGTCTCTTTTTTTTGTGCAAACTTAAATTTCATTAGTCTTAACTTCCAAATACATCACACAAAAGGCTCTTTAACCAGAGAGTAGATTACATAATTGAAAGAAAAGACAATAAATAGATAGGATATACAGATGATCTCTTTAAAGATATCCTGAAGCTTCATGGCTTCAAAAAAGATCGATTTACGAGACTTTTGGAATTCTAAGATTACCATCAGAATGTCGATCTTCAAACCTCGAACTTGCTTGAGTTCTGAGAAGACACTAGTTCTTTTGTCAATGAAGACAAATGAATAGTTCATTGAACTCGTGATGCCACTATGGTTGAGCTTTGTAAAAACTCTGCTCCATAAAGGAGGAGACAGGTGGTATAGATCTCTTCATAACAGAAGAAAATGATGAAATTGATCTCTCCAACATGGAGGAAGTTGGGGAATGTGATCTCTCAGACATAAAACTTAGATATATAAGTCTTGTTTCATGTATTTTCTTAGTATAGGCCTTTCTAATTGGAAAATTGACAAAAATATATTAAAGTATGGATTGTCCATGCGTTGCGTGGATTTGAAAATTAACATGGTAAAATATGCATTAATTTTTAGTGTATTGATCATTTGTGTATTTAATTTGATATGATTTTGGTGTTTATAGTAAATAATTATCTAAATTAGAAGATTAGGCATTTATAACAAATTGTTGTACATATACAATGTTATATGAAAAAGACTCTTACATCATATGAAAAGCATATTCTTTGGCACAAATCCTTAACTTATGTCTTTATCAGTATTCACTACAGTTTTCTAAAAAAATGATTGCTCATCTTTTTTGTATCAAATACGTTTGTAAAAATCTATTGATCAGACAAGTTATACTATGTCTTGCTTCTACCGAGACATTTGCATCATATCCATAAAGGTGTTGGAATGCATCTTTCTGTTGATTTCATTAGAACCTTCAATCAGAAGAAGAGAATAATTGATGGTTGATTGTATTTATGTCTCACTTTTTTGTCGATTTACTGTGATTTTTATCTTTCACATCTTTTTCTTGGTGATGTGATTCTGTTTTTCTAGATTTACAATTTGTGATGGAGTAAGGTTTTATTTCGAGAGTCTTGATTAGGAGCGTTACTTTGTCCAACACAAATAATTTTAATTGCATTAGAGGGTGATAGGTAAATTGGTTTTGAAAGATATGAAAGTATTTAAAAACGTTAAAAGTCAAAAAATTTCCAATAAGACATTAGTGTTTTCACGGCCTTAAAAGTTCTAAAATCATTCTTTAGATGTCTCACATCATTTTTTTTTCATGTTATATTTCATTTTATTAAAACTTCTCTTTGTGAATTTTTAATTTAAGATCACGTTACCTATATAAAAGCCAAAGTTTTAAACGTTTTTTATATAGTATATTGTTAATTTGATAAATAAAAATATATTTTTTTCTAGAGAAATTTCAAAAAATGCCACTTTTCAAGTGCCAATTTACAAAAATGCCACACTTTTGAAATCTTTACAAAAATGTCACTTTTTCAAAATTATTTTTTCTTTATATCATTTATGTTTGGGTTAATTATGTTCTATTAGGCTTTAGTTATGAGGGTTTAGGGGGTTTTAGGGGTCAAAATTTTTTAGGGTTTAGAATTTTAAGATATAGGTTTTATAAATCTATAATTAGTAGCATTTTTACAAATGGACACCCCTATCTATAATTAGT